GTCAACATTTAATTGTCTTGTGCATGGGGTTGCCATGAGTTTGATTCATCTTGAGGACAACTAAAAATGTGAAAAATAGGATAAGAACTAATCTATAGCTGGAATTGGGGATCAGTCTGTGGTCTTGATATGGCCACTCTCTAGGCAAGACTAGAAGCTCAGAATGAAGGCAGGTTAATGTCAGATTCTATAGAGGGTTAGAAGCTCAAATTGTGTTCAGTGTTAATGGCAGTAAAAGGCTGTGTGCCCAGGTCTTTGATGAAGCAAAAAACCTAAGGTAGGTACCCTGTTCTGGAATTCATTGTATTTCATAGAGACAAATACAGGCTGTGTCTTAGTCCTGACCAATATTCCTGTTTCAAGATTCTAAGTGCATTTAGTTTTTTTTTATAAGAAGAAAGTCACAGGCTATACCTTCTAAAATTGTTCCTGTCATCCACTAGGCATCTAGTAAGTACACATTCAATGAAAGAATGAATGGATGAATGAATGGAAGAGAATGTGGACAAGAGTATGATCAGGAACAATTTTAGAAATGGTAGATGCAGTGGTGAATAATAGCTTTTCCTGCCCTTAAAGAATTTGGACAATCCTTTGTTTCTTCACCAAGTGTCCCCACTCACCAGGTTCAGCAGCCAGTGGCTGGCTGTTACTAGATTCTAGAACTCCATGGGCATGCACAGAGTAAGGGCGGCTGGCATTATTCTTGAACACCACAGTCAGGATGTCACCAACCTCTCCTCTGACCAGTGGACCTAATATATGCAAAATAAGAAAAAGTTCCATTAGTGGAGGAGTAGAACAGGAAGCATTAAAGAAAGGGATGCACATAGCTACCTAGAATTAGGGCTTTGCCTACCCAAAGAATAAAGGTACATCAACAACAGGATTGTGCCTCTAATTCTCCCCACCTCTCCCACCCCAATCCTCTCTCCATAATAGCCTGACACTCTAGGAAATAAGAGCTCTGTGGAATCATGGAATTAAAGTTTGGCATAGAACACAAAGTGCCAGCGACCTTTTCAGGGGCCAGTGGGTCACTTCTTGGCCAGGACAAGAATGAGGAAACCCACTGACTCCTACAAAAGTGAAGAAACTGTAGCAACAATTAAGCTAGAGTACAGTAGTAATATTGATTCCCTGTATCATTTTATTTCCTAATATTTGATATTCTTAAATCACATACACCTCTAGCATCTGTTTCAATCTATCATTCTCAAAGATCTGTAAGTATAGAGGTCTGGGAAAAACTAGTTCAAGTTACAGCAAAATTCATGAATTCCTCCATTTGAGTTATCTAGTTTGATTAACTTGTACTCCATGGCACATGAGTCAGTGGTTATTTTTATGGCTGTTTTATAAAATATGAGAAAACTTCAACATATCATAAGGAAAAACTGAGAGTCAGGAATAGGAAGGACGTCCTGTTATGACATATTAGGAGAAGCTCAGGACTCTAGACACTAAGAAAGAAATAGAATTTTTCTTACCCAAAATTCCCAAGTGCTCTTCTGGTTCAGTCCTTGGCCTAGGGATCCTGAAGGTACCATCAGTGTATTCCCTGAATACAGCTTTCTTGTATCTGGAACCTAGCAGCCCATCTGTGTTGCTCAGGAAGATGTGACCATAACTAGAGGAATCCACAGAGTTGTATTAACATTTGGTCCTCAACTCCTCATTTTCAGATATGCGGAAGCTAAGTCTGAACCAACCTCATATTATAGATAGAAACAGGAGGGGACTAGCTAACGGGGGATTGGTCATCACATTGGCTATATAACCACAATTAAATATGGGAGGATCAAAATCTATTGATGTTTCCTTGTTTGTCTACTCTCCTTATGGGAATTTGAAATACACTTTAAATAGTAAGAGCATTGGGCTAACAGTCAGGAGCCCTGGGCTCTATTCCCACTCTTAAGGGTATCTTAGAATTAGTTTGAGAAAAAGTGGTGTGGAGAGAGGTAGAGAGGAAATTAAACCTTACAGATTCTCTCTTATACAATGCTTTTCAGTTTACAAAGAGATTTAATATTCATTCTAACGCTTCACATTCCCAACAGGTCTATGAGGTAGGTAGATCCTTGAGGTGGAATCAGCAGCCCAGAGGTGACAGAACCTAACTACAATGACACTGCCAGCCAGCAAGGGAGACAAGACTTAGATTCAAGCCTGCTGTTTCTTCTTCCCTTCTTCTACAGTCAGATTCTTTCAAGTACACCACATCATTTGACAGATGAGTAAACAAGGACCAGAGAAAGGAAGTGATTTTTCTAAGTTCCCAGAGAAAGTTAGCAGGAATAACCAACAAATGGGGCAAACCTTAGAAAAGGCTAGTGAGGGCAATGAAAACAAATTCTGTAGTGGAGAATGCTAAACTGTACCTCAATTTCCATTCTACCCCTTTTTCCTTGTTCAGTAGTACAATCCCCTAGATTTTAACTGGGCATATGGCTGTTTAACAAGAAATTACATTTCCCCACCTACGTTGCAGCTAGTATGGACATATGAGTAAGTTCAGCACAATAGGACATGAGAGAAAGTGATGAATACAACTTTCAGGTAATCTCCTCACAATGTTGATTGCCCTGGATTTCTTCCCCTTTCTTCACAGTTGGGAATGGCTACAACTGGAATACACAAGTTGGTCTCAGAGAATAAAAAAACAAGTCTTAAGCTTGGCATAGTTCACCTGCTGGACCTGGACTGTTTATGTCTGTACTGCTATTTGAACAAGAGATAAAATTCTATCTTATCTAAGCCACTTTATATTGGAGGTTGTTTTTTTTTTTTTTTTTTCCCTGCTACACAGATTAATCTGTAACTTAATGAATGCAATGCCATTTTGTCATTGGACAGCTGAACTTGGGCTATTCAGTCTTTTAAGTACATCCACTACAAATTTTATGTTCTGGAATAGGTTCTTCTGGTTAACCAGAGGAAGTAAAGCAAGACCAAAGAGGATGAGAGTGTGGTCAAGGTCTTTTACTTCAGTCGTATAGTATCATAGAAAGCTAGAAGCAGCACTTAGTTGAAATTTTGAGCACCTGCCTTCTATTCTTGCTCTCATATCAGTTGGTATCTTTGTTATTATTATTATTACTATTTAAATATGTTGGTATCTTAAGTGATCTTAGATGTGTCCCTCCTAATCTCAGAGTTTCAGTATCCTCATCTCTAAAATGGCTTAGAGTTTCTGGAAGTGTGATCTCTCCTTTTCTGAAACCTTACCTCTCCTTCTCAGACTGATTGTGCCATTCCAGTTCCCAGCTTCTGTCAGGGCAATAGTCCCATTCTACTTCCTCTGCCATGATGTAATATATTCTTGCAGCCTGGTAACGCTGGTGAGGGATAGCTTCATGGCCAGGACACTGGGACACATTGTAGATCGCACTCATTCCTGCTTCCCGATGGTTGCCTGCCTGGCAATAAATCTCAAATGTCCCTTAGGAAGGAACAGAGAACAAACCATGACTCAGGATACCCCTGGGAAGTACGTGGGGGATTTCCCGTCTCTCCTTACATATACTACTGGGAGTGGGTATTCTCAGATAAGGTTCTTCTATGCCTTAGATAAAATATTATTACAAGTTTATTGACAGCAATAAGCACAAATATTGAGTCTCAGTTCCACAGGTACATTGTCAGTGTTTGAAACTTAACTCTGCCACTAGATGTCCAACTCCTGGTTTGCCCAAAGATTTCCCTGTTTTAGCACTGGAAGTCCCATATTCCTGGAAATCCCTGAATCCTGGGCAAACTGGAATGGTTATCTACCCTGTCTGCCACTTATTATCTATATAACCTTGAGAAAAATTTTAAAGCTCTGTATGTTTTAATTCCCTCGTCAGTAAAATGGGGATCATTTAACTTACTTTGTTGGACAGTTCTAAGATCAAACATAATAATGTGTGCACAGTGCTTTGCATAGTATATGTTGTTGTTGTTAAGTGCCGTCGAGTCAGACCTGACTCATAGCGACCCCTCTTTGGGTTTCCAGGGCAGTATTACTACGGAAGTAGATTGCCCCATCTTCTTTCCGAGGAGTGGCTGGTGGATAGTAATATAATAAGTGCTTAATAAATAAAGTTATAAATAAAGTTGTTAGAATCATTATTCCAAGGAATCTATTAATGAGTTCAGTCCTCTTCCTACTAAGAATCTAAGCAATAAAGGTGGGAGCTTAAATAATTAGATATAAAAATGAACCTCTTAGTCAAAAACATGCTTATACAAGAGAGCTTTGGAATGAGCATCTTTAGAAAGAAAATAAACTTCCTAAAGTTTACAATGGAATGTTGAAATGTCAGTATTAAATGGTTGAGTTGTGAAGCTGCCTGGAGCTAATCTCAAGCTCTGGGTTTCAAGTGGAAGGACACTCAGTCTCAGGAAATGCTGGTCAGAATGAGCCAACATTCTTACAGCATTATTTTGATCATTCTTTTCCCTTGCTGCTATTCCATCACTACAAAACCTCAAAGCCCTCTGTGAGTTGGCCCCAAACTACGAACCCAATCTCATTTCCCATTCATTGTCCCAAACTCAACCAGTGCTCCAACTAAATCTGTCCTTGACTGCCTGCTCATATTTCTTGTTCCTAATTTGAAATCTTCATTCACATTGTTACCTTCATTCTGTAATTACCTGCCCAAACCACCGCACCCCCTTACAAATAAATATGAAAGCCTACACATTCCCTAAGGCTCAATTCATGTTTCATCTCTTCTAGGAAATCCTCCCTGAGTATTCTAGCACACAATGACCTCTTCATCCTTGGCCTCTCCATTTATTTTCAATTAGCTTTTTTTGTGTGTGATTTGGATGAAAGTTTACAGAGGGATTTGGCTTTCCATTCAACAGTTCATCCACATTTTGTTTTGTGACATTGATTACAATCCCAACAATGTAACAGCATTCTTCCCACTTCCTCTCTGTGGCCAGAGCTGAACTAATTTCAGTGGCTTAACTTTCAACCAAACAATAGACAGGCCTATGAGGTGAACAGTAACACTTGGAAGGTATGCACTTCTTAGAACAATCGTCTGATCTCCTGTCGTCACTCCTCGACTTGTATGCCGTCTTCTGCTGGAAAAAAAACACAAGAAATCAAAAGGGCAGCATTTGCTCAAGGGTAAAGCTCAGAAGGAAGGAATGGATAGAAAATAAATCCTTTACATGTAAACCACATGACTAAAGACTAAGTAGTCTTCTCTCTTTTAAATGGGCCCCCTTTCACTACTTTATAGGCTACTTGAAAGCAGAGACCACTCTTATTTCCTTATCAACACCCCAATTCTTTTATTTCCATTACCCCCCACATCTAATCCAGTAAATCCTATCAGCTGTCAGTTTATTTCACCTGGAAAACTGCAATACCCTCCCAACTGTTTTATCTTGCTCTCTCCAAACATTCCCCATGCAGCAGGGTGGGTACTCTTTAATAAATATATCTAGAGTGCATTCCTCACTCGCTTTGAACACTCCATTAACACTTGAATAAAATTCAAGTTCTCTACTATGTTCAACAAAGCCCTGCATAATATGATCCTTGTCAACCTCTAATTCACTATGCTTTGATATTGGCCTTTTTCCTGATCCTTGGACAAGTACACTTGTTCCCACCTTAGGGCATCAACACTTGCTCATCCCTTTGCCTGGAATGATTCCATCAAACATCTTCATATATCTCCCTCCTCTTCATTATGTATGCCTCTGCTCAAATTGACATAGAGATCTTCCTTGAAACCCTCTTCAAAGTAATATTCTCAACACTTTATAACATCACTGCATTTTAATTCCTTCATTCTTGTATCTTTATCCAAAATTTTGTTGCTCTTTTATTTATGTAGGAGCTCTAGTGGTGTAGTGCCTAAGGCATCTGACTGCTAACCAGAAGGCTGGCAGTTCAAACCCACCAGCCACTCCATGGAAGGAAGATTGGGCAAACTACTTCTGCAGTGATATCACCTCAGAAACCCAACGAGGGGTCGCTATGAGTTGGATCCGACCCGAGGGCAGTGAGGTTTTTTTTTTTTTTTAATGTGTTTTTATGTGCTTCTTGCGAATTTCACCTGACAGTATGAATAATATCTGTCTTGTTCACTTCTCAAACCCAGGCCTAGAACATAGAATGCCAAGTTTCTCTTCTTAGCTTTAGATTTCTATCTGAAATTACTTACTATGAAATTCCCATCTGGATTTCACCAAGAACTTAAAATGCTACATATGCCCAAATTAACGTTTTCATCTGCAACCTGACCACACTGTCCATGCTTCTGTATCCATTCATTTGTTTAGTGATGCCACCATCCACCTATTGCCTAATCTGGAAATCTCAGTCATCTTTTTTTCTTGCTCAGACTCACATTAAATCCCTATCATTTTCCCCTAAAACATCCCTTTATTCTTCCCTTTCTCTCCAGTCCCACAGCCTGTATCCATTGACAGATCCTCCTAGTCTCGTTCAAGAGTTTTCCCTTGTGTCTCTCTGGCTCTGGTTCATCATGTTGTTGTTGTTATGTGCCATCGAGTCGGACCCGACTCATAGCGACCCCTCCTTGGATTTCCGAGGCAGTATCACTATGGAAGTAGATTGCCCCATCTTCCTTCTGAGGAGTG